ACTAACCGAGCAAAAAGAAAAATACTGATCATTTCTGCTCTTTACAGATTCTCTCTATCATGAAAATAGACAAAACATCAAAAATGTTTTCAAATGGTCATCCTTGTGCAATAAATCCTATAAGAAGTGAATGGACAATTTCAGTAATGTGACTTATTTGTAGATCTTTGTTTGCTCAGCATTTTTACTCTTTACAGTTTTTCTCTATCTAATGGTAGAATAAATCATCATTTGGGGGCCATTCCTCGTGTAAGTAGTCAATTGACAATTTTGGTCATGTTGACTTATATGTAGATGTTATGTTTCTTTGCTCATTACAGAACCGAGGTATTCTTATTTTCAAGATAATGCCATAAATACAAAATTTGGATACTTGTCATTTAAAGGCGTTTATTCACAATTTGGATATGTTGACTTATACGTTCATCTTATCTTGAAGATTTTTTATTGTTAAAAGTTTCTGTCCTTCTGTTTAAGTTTTCAAGGTAAAAGCAAAAAAAATAAATATAGTAAAACTTGCAACTAAAGAGCAATAACTCCTTCATGATTCAATTGACAATTTTGCTCATGATAACTAATTTGTAGAGTTTGGTTTGCTGATCATTTTTACAGTCTACTGTTGCACTCTTTCTTTTATAGTTGTCAAGGTAATTGCCGAAAAAAAATTCAAAAAATTCAAACAAATCATCAATTAAGGGCAATTACTTCTGTACCGAGTTGTCTGATAATTTTGGAAAAATAGAAAGAAGGTAATTTGTAACATTTTGAGCATATTACCGTGTTAGATATCCATCAGTTATAGATGGTTGATTGGCAGGGACAAAAAACACAATATTTATAACGATCAAAATTTGTCCAGTTATTTCAGAAAAGACCAATAAAACCAGGTGAACTAAAGTTTTCATTGTCAAATAGCTAATAGACATACACCCTTACAACAAATCCATTAACAAACAAGAAATGATTGTAATAGGATTCTGTCACGAAGTCTCCCAAACAAAGTTCCCATAATTAAAGTCATTCCCAAAGTCGCCTGACATTGGGCAAAGACCAGCAAACATTGGTTTGGTCCAGTAAAATGATATGCATTATTGTCCCCTGTGCACTGACCCTTTATATCATTCAAATCTTCGTGACGTGACGAACAGGAATATATATGGTTTAGGGGTGGGGATCTCGACCATTTCTAAGTTATAAGAATATATTCAAATGACAGGGGTGGGGATGACTCCTTGAGACTGACCCTATAGATCATTCAAATCTACGTGACATGACGAACAGGAATATATATGGTTCAGGGGTGGGGATCTCGACCATTTACAAGATATTAGTTCATTGAGGGTGGGGTACCCCTGGGGACTTACCCTATATATCATTCAAATCTTTGTGACGTTACGAACAGGAATATGTATGGTTTAGGGGTGGGGATCTCGACCATTTACAAGATATTCGAACATATTCAAATGACAGGGGGTGGCGATGACCCCTTGGGTCTTACCCTGTATAATATTCAAATCATCTTGGCAGGACAAACCAGAATATATATGGTTAAGGAATGTGGATCTTGACCACTTACAAGTTTTAGAACTTTCTCAAATGGCAGGGGGTGGGGCTGACCAATGGGAACTATAACCCCTTATTTCATTTGATGTGCTTTATCATATAGAACATTTTCAATTATAAAGATTGTGTCTATCACTAACTGTTTTCAAGTTATACTCATTCGAAAATTTAAAAAAATGAAATCCCATAGGGTTCTATAGTAAACCCCTCCTATCTTTTTGCCCCTCAAAGTACCCCTTTATAATCCCCATTGCACAAACAAAACCCTGATTGCACCATTAGAAATGTTAGTCTAACATATTGTGGAACCCTAAGTTAATCTGACAAGCGGTTTTGGAGAACGGGTGCGGACAAGTTCAAATTAATAAACAGCTGCGCCATGAGCGCATGATACGCCCGTCGTCTTGTGTGTAAATTTTTATGCAATAAGCATAAATAGTTTCTGACATACGGCGTGACATGCGAAAACCCCCTTTTTTTTTACAAAAAACTCAATATCTCTAAAATAAAATTTTGAATCAAAACCAAAAAGTATACAGATCTTTAGATTAATATAACTAAGAAGTGTGTAAAATTTTAAGCAATAATCATAAATCGTTTTTGAGATACGGCGCGACATGTGAAAAACCCCTCCCCTTTTTTTACAAAATACTCAATAACTCAAAAATAAAATTTTTAATCATCACCAAAAAGTATACAAATCTTAAGGATAATATAACTAAGAAGTGTGTAAAGTTTTAAGCAATAATCATAAACTGTTTTTGAGATACGGCGCGACATGTGAAAAACCCCTCCCCCTTTTTTAACAAAATACTCAATATCTCTAAAATAAAATTTTGAATCATCACCAAAAAGTATACAGATCTTAAGATTAATATAACTAAGAAGTGTGTAAAGTTTTAAGCAATAATCATAAATTGTTTTTGAGATACGGCGCGACATGTGAAAAAAAACCACACACCTGTTTTAGTTACTAAGTCCCGTAACTCAAAAAGTTTTTGTCTTATTTTCACCAAAAAGTATACAGATCGTTTGACCATCATAAGAAACAACTATGTTAAGTTTCATGAAATTTGGATAAGTCATTCTCAAGTTACGGTGCGACATGTTTACGCCGGACAGACAGACGGACAGACAGACGGACGGACACCGGACATTTGTATAACATAATACGTCCCGTCAAAAATTGACGGGCGTATAAAAAGCGGCGGAAGAGGAAGAAGAAGAAGAAGAAGAAGAAGAATATCAAGAACTGAGCAACACCAATAAGTCTCAAAACTTTGTTTGGGAGACTTAAATATTTTTCAGCAATCATATTTAGTCACTGAAGAACAGACTCAATCCTGAAAAAAGAACTGATCACTGGAATGTGTAGATGAGGTCAAGCCCATGTGACATATGGCAGATGGACATAATGTATACTCCTCACAACCGATCCATATACACCATAACAAAGAGATCTAATCCTGAAAATCCACCATAAGAATAATTTAATTGTAAAGGACATATGAGAAAGGTCATAAAAACATTTACTCTTCAAAACAAAATTCCATATCAAACCATATATAATACTGAGGGACATACCAAATCCAAAAACAAAAACCATGCAGTAAGAACATTGAAATAAAATTGAGGCCAAGGTCAGGGGACAATGACTCACGTGCAAGGTCTTGTTTTGTTTAAGCCACTTACATATTAGATTTGGTAAACATACGTGGCAGAAAGGATAAGACAAAGGCATTTGTAATTGTTAATGCTGTTACCAACAAAAATAATAATTGCATTTTGGTCTAAAATGACAAAATCGCAATAATAAATGCATGCAATAATTTCTGAATTTACAGTATCATAGATTTTTATTGCAGGTACGAAAACAGTACTATATAACAAAAAATGTGATTCTATAATTAATACCAGGCTGTTACATCATTTTTTATTGCAAGTAAGACCAAATCTGACTATAATTTATAAAGTTCTCTGAAATAATTGAACATGCTTCATGTATTTAAAAAAGTAACAATGTTAATATATCATTAACAATTTTGGCACATTTTTGTAGTAAAGATAAAACAAACAATTGTAGTTATCACATGAATGAAATATAGAATCAAATCGTCACTCAATCTCAATTTCAGTTTAATTTTTGCATCATTTAACAGACAAGGTATCTCCAACACGAATCCTCTTCCCAACAGCAGAATCATCATGTCTTAGATGTATCCCAAAAGGAATCTGAAAAAAAACAGAGAACCCTGGCCAAACCCACTTAATTATAGTTTCGACTGTTGATTTGTACTCCCCGTGCTAGTGCGGGAATCAGATGGATATACACAAACAAGATCTAAAATATAACACGAGGCCATTATATGGAAAAAGGGCTGGTACTATAGATGATACTGTGGATTTATTTATTTTCGTGCATACCAATTTTCGTTGATTGAGGGAAAATTGTATGTTCGGAGATATTTGAGTTGAGGTTTTGCCAAAGTCTGCATATAGGCCTATAATTAATTTGTACTTGTTGAACATTTGAATTTGTGATTCAGGTATACCCACGAAATCCAAGAAAATTAGTATCCTACAAATTATAATGAATGCACAGTATGCAAAATGCAATGCAATGATAAATTATATTAATTTTGAAGAAATCTTTCTAAACACAACTTTGTTAACAACAATATAACCTTTCACAATATCAATTGCAAAAATGTATGTGTTTGTTCTATTATATGAAACAATTTTTTATTTACTATGGACTGATTAATATTTGTTGTACAACATGTATACCAATTTTGACGGATTTTGTGGATACAGACTATTCACAAATTTATGTATTCAATGATTACAAATTTTCCACAACTTGAATGCAGACTATGGTAAAACCACAAAATAAAATATTCATGAAAATGCAAGTTTTCCTCAACCCATGAAAATTGGTATTTAAGAAAATAAATGAAACACAGTACAACAATTTCAGGTACTTGAAGAGGCTCAACTTGTGTATGGTCAATAGTGAAAAGAGGACATTTGTAAAACAGATGTAATATGAATTCATTAATATTTGTTGTTGGATACCAATTTTTATGGATTTCTTTGCTGTTAAAGGGGAAACCATGAATTTGAATAATCAATAAAATATTAATTTTTTGTTCTTTTGAAAGAGGCGAATGAATTAATTTTCCTCAATCCATAAAAATTGGTATCCAAGAAAAATAAATGAAACACAGTACAACATTTCAGGTACTTGAAAAGGCTCAACTTGTGTATGGTCGATAGTGAAAGTGGACATTTGTAGAACAGATGAAATGTGAATTCACTAATATTTGTAGGATCCCAGTTTTTATGGATTTCTTTGCTATTAAGGGGGAAACCATAAATTTGAATACTCAATCAAATTTTTTTTTTTACTTTGAAAGGGGCATTAATTTGGTATTGAATTCCCTATAACCTCGTTTTCATCTGTCAACAAACAGTTCAAGAAATGGTTACATCAACACTTAGGTTATGTAAGTTTCAATATATGTGTTTTACAGCATCCGTAACCATTTATCTGTGATAGTTGTTTACTGTATTCTTAAATAAGATAGGACGCACTGTCTTTCATTCCGGTCACTGAGGAAAGTAAGGTTTTTGTTTGATTGGCAATCATACCATATCTCCTTATTTTATCTTAGACATTCGAGATCTCTGCTTTGATAATTAAGCTTATGCAATCCCACAAGGTAAATCAATTTGTAGAGTATAATTGATCAATAGTGCTACACCTCTGCAATGCCATACATAGTGTATTAGCACATTCCTACGAATGTCAATTTGGCTACTCGTACTCGCATGCGGGGTCGCGCAGACACTGCCTAAGTAAAATGCACAGGTAAAGTGTACAAGGAAGATATACGACATCAAGCTTCATCTGGTTATACCATACCATGTGACATATATTTTATGTGTTACTGATACATAAACCAGGAGCATCACCTAATGGTCTGAATCATCTCTGTAGTGTTATTAATTTTGAAACACAGGAATCTTTTCCCACGAAGTGCCGCCCCGTTGTTTATAGTTAAGACACAATTATTTATACTTATATACAGATGCCTCAGAAGGATGACCCTTCCAGGTAAATTTAGCACCATTCTGAGCACTTTTATATACAAACTTAAATCGGGATTCATTTTTCATTATTAATGGGTTTCCTAGTTCAATATTATTGTTATTTTCCTTTCCCTATTGTATGGAAATATTTTTTTGCTCTACACAGGTAAATTCAGGCGAAGTTTACGTGAAATTCATGTAAAAGTCAAAATTCCCTTGAAAACAATTTGCCTGTGTACAACTGCCTCAAGCAGACCTTAAATCTACCTAATTATTCTATATGATTTACCAACTAATGTTTTATAAAGGACTTTCCGTTTTGAATTTCCCTTGGAGTTCGGTATTTTTACTTTTTAGTATGACAACACTTGACTTCAACTGTAATCATGGTTATAGTCATGTCAAAAAGAGAAGTTTCAAGAAAACTTGATTTTTTAAATGTTAGAGATTAAAATTCCAATTTTGGTGCTATAAGTAACATAAAAGTGTATTATTCATGCAACATCATTGTGTTGCAATAATTTCATAAAGAAATGAACAGTGAAGATTTCTATTTTGTGCTACAGCACGACAAAAATGATATGGTATCCATTTCTCTTTTCATAATCAAAAAGCAATTTATAAAATATATATCTTTTCATATTTGATTTCAAAATTCTTTCACTTTGTTTTCTTTCTATCGACAATATAACACTTTACCTCTGAATAATCTTTACAAAATATAACCGCCTCGGTGGTCTCGTGGTATCTTTTTCACCTTGAGTGCGGGTGGTCGTTGGTTTGAACCCTGGCCGGGTCAAACCAAAGACTTTGAAATTGGTATTTGCTGCTTCTCCGCTAAGCACGTTGCATTAAGGAGTTAGAGTAAAGACTGGTTGGCTGGGAGTCAGAATAATGTGTCCAGGTAAGGTGACATGTCTTCCTGCGGACTGTTACCTTGTAAACTACGTTAAAAATTCGGCTCAGCGTATCGGTCTAGTACACGGCAGGGTTACATTTCATATCACATTAACATGTTCTCGTCCTGAATATGCATATAAATATGGCGCTGGACGTTAAATGAGCCTTTCATCATCATCATCTTTACAAAATGTGATAATTTTCACCAGCCTTTAGCTTGGGAACCTTTCATTTTTAATATATTTTTGAAAATATCACTATAAAAACTACATATGACAAAGTATGAGAAAAAAAAATTATTTGTACCCTCATAAAACTTAAAGTCCAAAAAAAATTGGTTGTCTATGAAAAATCCATGCCTCCCCACAAAAGATGAATGATCGTGTCTAAGTCATGAAATCTGATAAATGTTACCTGTGCATATAGTGTATGCTGATGAAATTTTCTATTACAGGAAGACCAGAGAAGATGGTAGTATCACCAAACATGCTGTTAGTGGTAACACTATCATAGAACCATTCCCTGAATGTATGGAAATGTCTATGTTTGGTTAGTATATACATACATTTACTGTTAATGGATACACTATTATATAATAGTTCCTTGAAGACATGGAAATAGCTATCTTTGGTAACTACATCTACTGTTAATGGTTACACTGTTATATAACCATTCCCTAAAGGCATGGAAATGGCTATGTTTGGTAAGTAGATCTATAGTTTATGCTTACACTATCATAGAACCTATCCATTAAGGCATGGAAATGGCTAAGTTTGGTAAGTACATCTACTGTTGATGATTGTTCTGTCATAGAACCATTATCTGAAGGTATGGCAATGGCTAGCTAGACCCTGTATATTTGGTAAGTACATCTACTATTAATGGTCACTCTATCATAGAACCATTCCCTGAAGGTATGGCAAGGACTAGACCCTGTATGTGTGGTAAGAGCATTGAAGTATTAGACTACTACATTAAATGGTTGTTGAGCAACAATGAATTCTTTCTCAATAAAAAATTACTTCTCATATTAAATATAATATAAAAAAACTACTAATGTCATAATTTCTAAAACTTATGCACACAAGGTACACAAAACAAAGTACAACCGTATTATTTTTTTCAAATGAATAATTAAGTTACATATCATCAAACCATTTGAGATGGATATGGTTAAAAACATATAATTCAATTATTTGTATTCGAAATAACCTTAATAATGTGGTGCACACTTTATATAACCCGCTACGCTAAGAGCAGACACAATATTTGTTAAACTAAGTTTCTAACCATGACTTTCGCTGTAATGCTTTCTTCTGTCTACGCGACACACTTCTAGAAGTGGTAAATGATAATGTCTAGTTTCATCCATGAACTCCAAGTGGCTTAAAAGTTATAGTGAGGAAATAAATTTTGTAAATATGCACAGGGATGACTAAGTTGAATTTTTGACATGACCTTCATTGTACAGTATCTTCCTTGTACCCAGCACATATCTTTTCTGGTAGTGTTGAATAATCATGACAGTTTCATCACTGAACTCCGAACGATCTTTTTACAGACAGATGAACCGATTTATTGGTGGGGCCTTTAAATCATGTTTTATTTATTTGATAGTTGGCCTACCATGCATAAATGCTTTAGGGAAAATACTGCAAAATGGAAAATATTGTTATAACAATTTAACTAAAGTGCAATAGTGTTTGCAATTTCCAATCTTTGTATGTCTGTTTTCTTGCTTGTGAAAGGTGCTATAACTGATCTTGATAACTGTAAATTCAGAAATTATGCATGCCTTATTTTTTATTGCAAAAATTTTGTGTAAGAAAAAGAACTACTCAAATCATGAATGCAAGTTTTTATTATTACGAATCTGATAATGTCACATTTTTGCATGAATAAAAACATAATAATAGCTTCTAAGTTTACAGTATTTTGTGTTCTTGCTTGAGAAATGTTTGATTAAATGTTGTGTTTTTGTTTTTAAGGTAGGATACTCTGGTGGTTTTACACCTAACCCTACATACAAAGAAGTTTATAAAGGTGGAACTGGTCATACTGAAGTAGTAAGACTTGTGTTTGATCAAAAGAAAACATCTTATGCAGACATTTTAAAGGTAACGATACAGAAATTTTTCCTTAAAATTAAATTACAAGTGTTTTTGAAAGTCATCAGTGTTTGTACTTTTGAAAGTCATCAGTGTTTGTACTTTTGAAAAGTCATCACTTTACTGCATGTGATAAACAACAAACTAGGACATTTTATTGGTTGAGTTAAGATACACCAAAGGTGTTTATTTGGTGCTGGGGAAATTCACAAACTACATTTTTGCAAAAATAATGATTATTAAAGTTTAAGCTGTTGCCCCCCCCTTTAAACAAAGGGAAATTAATTGATAAGGAATAGTCAACTCGAAGTTGCTTAGTACACACATGTTACGCTTTCCTTTCAGTAAAATTCAAAATACTGAAAATAAAGTTTTCAAGAGTTGCTTTGCTTAAGATGAAAATACTGTAGATGCATACACAATACTACATAAAAAAATTACTTGTAATAAATGATTGATTCAATTAATTTGTTTCCATTCATAAGATTTCTTCAAAGGCAATAAATTTGTTTTTCCTGACTTCCTCTGGTTTCAGTTCGGTCAGATTTCGGACTTGAAAAAAGAATAATAAAATATGTACCGGGTAAACATGCATAATAAGCACCCTCTTTCTCAGAAACCTATCCGGGCCCAGGATAAAAATCCACGTATTATACAGAACTGAAATGGTACTAGCACTTTTGAGACATCATTTACCAGTCAGTGCAGCATGCATGTTACTTCACTGAGGTTTTTGGACAAAAAAAGTACCCTGGTATGTTTTTGATATTAAAAGAAATAGTACAAAAGTAACAACTCTTTTTAATACTTCTGGTTATCGTTTTTATAGTAATACCAGAGGGTTTCCAACAGAATAGTGAATAGCCATTTAAATAACTTCTGTCATTGCACCTAGGATGGCTGGTATTGTTTGGGTCATACCTCCTCAAGGCAACCATAATATAAATCAATCATTCATGATCCTGAGTTACATGAACAACCCATATAATTTTTCTTAGTTACTTTGCCTGTGATATAGCTAAATGAAGATACTGTGGATTCATTTATTTTCATGGGTACCAATTTTCGTAGTTTGAAGAAAAGCGTATTTTTGTGGAAACTTGAAATCGTTGTTTTGCCAAAGTTTGCATACAAGCCTATATAAAATGTCTACAACATTGAACATATCAATTCATGGTTCATTGATACTCACGCAATCAATGAAAATAAGAACCCAACGAATAATAATGAATCTACAGTAACTATAAATATTTTGCTTGAACATTGTAAATCATGGTTTAGTATGCTTCACATAATTTATAACTGAGTCTCTAACATTTAACAATACAAGTAATTACTTTTTTAGTTATTTTGGGAAAATCACAACCCAACACATGGAATGAGACAAGGTCAGGAATGTACTATTA